AAGTGTTTTCTCTAAGAAACTTAACGATATGAATCTACGAAAAATTCGTTGAAAGTGTTTGTTTTCCCTAGAAATAATTTTTACATAAAACTCTTTTTTAGAGAAAGCTTTTTTTTATAGAGATTTATAGTAAAAACTCATCGAATAGTTTTCTATACATAACTCAATGAAAAAATGTCTACTAAAAACTCGTCGAAAAGTTTTCTATACAAAATTCTAGGAAAAGTTTTCTATCGAAAGCTCAACGGACAGTTTTCGATACAAAAATCAAACAAAGCTCAATGAAAGCTCATCGATAGTGGAAAAAGTGTGATCTTAGAGAAATAAATCAAAAATAAAGGCAATGTATTTCATAGAAAACTCATCAAATTATTTTCTGTGGGAAAAAACAACAAAAAGTTTTCTGGAATGAATGTAGTGCTAAATAAAAGTCCCCTATAACCGGTGTTTTCAAATAGTTCTTTTAGTTATTTGCACTCGCATTGTTGTGATTTAAGTGACAACGACATATACCGAAACAAATACAAGTGATTGATTGAAACACCGACAGACAGACATGCAGTCAGACAGACATAGAGACCGACAGATGTCATTGTCTTATTCAATACAAACATTATGCATGGATAAACAATAATTATTTATTGTTATTTTTTCCGACGTTTTTTTCTCTCCCTCTTTTGCTTTTAAACAATTCACAAATAATTTATTAACTAAATAAAATAAATGTATTTAACATTTTTTTTTTTGCTAATGCAAAGAACAGCACATGTATGCAATTAAAAAAAAACGAAATTACAAATGTTTAAATACCGGGTAATTATGGTCAAATCTTAAAGATTGCAATTAAAAATTTATTAATTTAATTATACAAATTAAACAAAAAAAAAAAAAAAAAAAGAGAACTATTAATACTTTTACAATCTTTTTAATTTTTGTATAATTTAAGTAGCTACTAAATAATACCGGTTAACATTTTATTTATTTTTATTCTTTCTTCTATTTTAATTGTATCAATTTCATTTTTGAATTGTTTTATTGTTGTTAATATTGCTATTGTTGTCGGTGTTGCTATTGCTCGGCGTCTAGCACGTGTTTTAATCAGAATCAAACACCTGTCTGTTGCTACTGCCATACGATGCGATGCAGTTGCCACAGTGCAGTCTTCCATTGCATATTAATTGTTCAATTATTATTATGAAGAGAAGTTTTTTTTGTCATGATTAAATTGTACAATTATATACATATTTTAATTCCAATTCACATGGGTGTGGGAATTTAAACATTGTTTATTATAATTTTTTTATATATATTTTTTTAAATAGTTAATTTTTAGTGTTGCTAATTTTTATTAACATTTTTATGAACGCAACTACTTAATTTTGTATACATTCGTTAGACTTTTTTTACTATTTATATACTCTGTAATTATAATTTGTATTATAATGTCAAGGTTAGTTTTGTTGAGGTGGTCAAGTTTAGTTAATTTGTTGGGAAAATCATTGATAGTGATTAGATAATTGTGCGGTTCCTCTGCTATCTAATATCTTAAAAATTAATCGCTGGAAGACATATTAAATAATTAGCTTTTCAAGGGTTATATTTTTGATTTGGTAACGTCGACTATACTGTTATAAAGTCGATAAATTCTTCAAATAATTTATATAAAGAAAAAAATTTTTCGTTGAAAATTTTAATCATTTGTTCTAAATAAGGTTTTTACTTGTATAGATTCTATTCGTGACATGATTGCTGTAAATCGAATTCTATAAGGACACATTTATCAATTAAGGTTATGTTATAATCTTGAATACTAGATCCGCCTATAATAAAATTATTTTGAAAAGAAGTAAGAATTTATAGTCGCGCATGGCCGATCATATGATACCATACACCAGTGATTATGTTACAATTATTGATTTTTTTAAAATAATAAAGCATTAAATTTATTTTCTACCTTAATTCAGAAATATTTTAACAATTTGTTGAAAGCAAAGGGATTTTGTAAAAAAGGGAGTTAATATGGACCTATTATTATAAATTTTGATAGAGGGATTAACGTCTACATTAAAGTTATTTATGCAAAATATTATCGTGATATTAGTGTTTATAAATGAATTTTGACCATCAAGTCATTTTCTGAATAGGACTTCATTAGGGGGATAGGGTCAAATAAGGCTCGATCATTACGAAAAGCAGCAGTATCATTAAGGATTTTGGAGTGATACAAGAACATTTAACATATTTATGATCTCAAAAGCCCTATTCGGGGAGTACGGTTGTATGTGTTGTGTCAAAAAAGAAGATGTGCCAAAATTTCACCAAATTATCTTGAGAATTGCGAGCTGTAGCTTGCGCACAAGGTTTACATGGACACACAGACGGAGGGACAGGCAGACAGACAGACAGACAGACAGACAGACAGACAGACAGACAGACAGACAGACAGACAGACAGACAGACAGACAGACAGACAGACAGACAGACAGACAGACAGACAGACAGACAGACAGACAGACAGACAAACAGACAAACAGACAAACAGACAAACAGACAGACAGACAGACAGACGGATGGACGGAAGTCTCAAAAAGTGAACCAATATTTTTGGGTGTTACAAACATCAGCATAAACGCATAATAGCCTCCCCACTACAGTGATGTAAGGTATAAAAAAACATCAAATCCCAGCAAAAGTTTGCAGTTGTTTGTTTGACAAGTTTCTATTGAAAACTGTTCTACAAGTTCGCCAAGTTTTCTATTAAAAACTGTTTGATAAGTTCGGCAAGATTTTTTTGTTTAAAAATGTTGCACAAGATATCTATTGAAAACTTGTTCAATATTGGTCAAGCTTTTATAGACCGACATATATTCTATAGATAACTGTTCAAAAAGTTCTCTTTAGAACAAAAAACTATTTGACAAGTTTTCTATAGAAGAGAATAAAAAACTATTCGGCATGTTTTCTGTAGAAAACTATTCGACAAGTTTTCTACTAAAAAGTGTTCGATAAGACTTTTCAAGAAAAGTGTTCGATAACTAGTTTCTAGTTTTCTATAGCAAACTATTTTACAAGTTTTCAAAATTGAGTTTTGTTGAATAAGTTCTCTATAGAAAAGTGTTCGACAAGTTTTTTATTGAAAACTTTTCGACAAGTTTTCTATAGAAAAGTAATCGACAAGTTTTCGATAAGTTTTCTATAGAAAGGTGTGCGATAAGTTTTCTATAGAAAAGTGTTCGATAAGTTATCTACAGAAAGGTGTTCGATAAGTTTTCTATAGAAAAGTGTTCGATAAGTTATCTACAGAAAGGTGTTCGATAAGTTTTCTATAGAAAAGTGTTCCTTAAGTTTCCTATAGAAAATTGCTCCATAAGTTTTGTATAGACAACTATTCAGATAGTTTTCTATTTCTATTCGGATAGTTTTCTATTTCCATAGAAAACTATTCTGCAGAAAACTATTCTATAGAAAACTATTCGACTAGTTTTCTATTCAGGATTTTCATAGAAAAATATTATACAGGTTTTTTTTTATAGAAAACTATTAAACAAGTTTTCTATAGAAAAACGTTTGGCTAGATTTCTGTAGAAAACTATTAAACAATACAACTTTTCGAAAAGTTTTCTAAGGAAAACTATTCAAGATGTTTTTTATACAAAACTATTCGAGATATTTTCGATATTCGACGAAACGTTAGACGATAAAACTCTTCGAAAAGTTTTTTATGGAAAACTATTCGAGAAGTTTCCTCAGAAAACTGTTCAAAGAGATTTATTAAAAGTTATCAATAGAAAGTCGTTTTTCTATAGAAACAACAATTTAGTAATTTTTTCAACAAGTTTTCCTTAGAAAATAGTTAAACAAGTTTTTTACAGCAAATTGTTGAACAAAGTTTCTATAGCCAACTGTTGGACAAGTTTTCTATAACAAAGTATTGAACAAGATTTCAAAATTTATGGCATTTTGGATAGAACATTGTTCGACCAGTTTTATATAGACTGTTCGATGGGTTTTCTGTATAAAACTGTTCAATAAGTTTTCTCTAAACATTTTTTCTATAAGTTTTCTGTATTAAGAAAGTTTTACAAATTTTATATAGAAAATTATTCGACAAGTTTTTCTATGAAAAGCTGTTCGTTGAGAAAATAGTTCGACATGTTTTTGCTTATAAAAAACTGTTCCTAAAGTTTTCTTCGGAAATCAATACGACAAGTTTCATGTTCATCTAGATTTCTAGGAAAATTCTGTTTTTGAAGCTTTATTTTGAAAACCATTTGCCATGAGTTCTATTGAAACCTGTTTAGAAAAATTTATTAAAAAATTCTACAAGTTTTCTTTAAAAAACTCTTCGACAATTATTCTTAAAAAAAAAAACAATTCTATAAGTTTTCTATAGAAATCAGTTTAAGCTCTTTGGTGCAGATTTCGATCAAAACTATTTATATTTTATAGAAAAGCAAAAGGAAATCAATTTTCTACGAGTTTTTCTCGCAAAACATTTTGGACTTAAAAATCCAAATTTATATCTACAGTGATATAAATTCTTAAGTGTCGAATTCAAGACATATTAAATTATATTTCATTCATAAAAAAACTTGGCATATAAAAAAAAAAAAAAACAATTCAATTAAAACTTTATTATAAAAAAACAATTTAGAAACGTGTTTTTGCACATTAATTGCATTAAAGACAACTCGTTCTAGTGAGAATATAAAAAATGCTTGTAATAATAAATTTGCTTTATATCCGGTTGCATTTAATTGATCATTTTTTGAATACTGATCTGAACTCTGGTCACCTCTTTCAAATTTTCCGTTGGAACAACAATAATACTAACAAATAAACAAACCTTAACAAACAAATATTTAATTGAGGAGAATAAAATAAATTAAAAATTAATTAATTTTTAATAGACCATCAATAAATAAATAATAGTTAATAATAAAATGCACACGAATGACCAATAAATTAATGTATGTATGTATGTTATAAAAATATCTCACCTGTTTTATTAAGTAACGATAAAATGTTTGACGTTGTGCTTTGACCACCAGTCTGCAGCGGCTGCTGAGCCAGCAATAATCCCAGCAAGAGTAGAGTATTTATGAAACCGGTTATGGGGCTTTGGCAGCGTGTATAGATGCATTTACGATTTTGTGGGCCCAACATAAAGTTATCACTTGATAATGGAATTTTTTGTTTATTTTGATTTCCTCTTAACACAAACATACTGACATAATTATGCAAATAATTTGTATAATAAAAACAATAATAAAAACAGCAATTGACAGTTAAATGACTTTTAATTTTTGTTAAGCTTTTTTTGTTTGTTTTTAGAAAGATTTATCAAGCTGCAAAGAAATAATAATAGAAAAAAAACAAGATATTAAAAGATTAATTTTCTTTTGTATTTAATCTAATTTGTTTTATATTTTAATAATCATTAAGATATTTGTTTGTTTTTTGTTTAAATAAAGAAAAAATCCAGTCTGTGTGTGCTTTTAGCAAAAATCCCTAAACAATTAATTTTGAAAACATTTCAATCTGTCAAAATCTATTGTTTTGAATTTGTATACATTGTCACGTATGCCACAGACTAAGATTAATAAACAAACAACTAAGTAGATCCAAATATACATTCTAACGTCATAAGTAGTCAGATTTAAATATTTATTTGTTTCACAAAAACCTCTTTGGATTAAGTATTTAAGTGAATTAATTTTATTATGTTTCTGGCTGATGTTTGTTTTGTTTGCTTTTTATACCATACACCACTATAGTGGGGAGGGTATTATGCGTTTGTGCTGATGTTTGTAACACACAAAAATATTGGTCCTACACCCACCTTAATGTATACCTTTGCCCGTCCGTCTGTCTGTCTGTCTGTATGTCCATCTATCTATGTTTCCATGTAAACCTTGTACGCAATTTTCAACATAATTAGATGAAATTTGACACATAAGTATGTACTCTTCTTTTGACCCAAGGACGAAGCTTATTAAAAAGGGGTTAAAATCGGTCCATTATTTCGTATAGCCCTCCTACAACCGTTCCCCTCTAATAGGGCTTTTGAGCTCATAAATATGTTCTTGTATCACTCCAGAAATCGACAAAACTTAGTTTTATATAAGTCTTAATTATATTGCTGATTTTCGTAAAGATCGGCCCTCATTTGACCTTATCCCCCATACTAAGTCTCCTTTAGAAAATGACTTGATGGTCAAAATTCACCTATAAACACTAATATCACGATGATATTCTGCATAAATAACTGATGAAGGCGTAAAACCCGCTACCAAAATGTATAAGAATAGGACCATATTAACCCCCTGCCCCCCATATAACCCCTCTTTTAGAAAAATCCCTTCTTTGTCAACAAATTGTTAAAATATTTCTGAATTATGGTAAAATTGAAATTAAATACTTTATTATAAAAAACTAATCAAAATTTGTAACATGATCATTGGTGTAGGGTATCATATGGTCGGCCATGCCCGACTATAAATTCTTACTTGTTTTATTATGTTTCTGGCTGATGTTTGTTTTGTTTGCGTTTTTATTTTTGGAGTCTGTCAGTTGTTTTGTTCTTTAATTCGATACATGCGAGCATCCGGCAGTTGGTAGTGTTGTAGTCTGTCAGTACGGAGGTCATAAGTTCGATTCTCACCAACAGGCCCAGTGATGGGCGAAGTGTATTTATTCGGGAATGTTGTAACTTCAAATGAGCACCGATCAATACGAAAATCGGCAGTGTTATTTAGATTTATGCTTCTTAGATAACGATAAGCGAATTTTCACTAATTTCCCGAAGGTGACTTGGTATGGGGGCTAGGGTTAAATGTGGGCCGATCAATATAAAAATCTGCAGTGTTATTTAGACTTACATATATAAAACTAAGTTTTGCTTTTTTTATTATAATTTAATATAATTACAAGATCAAAATTCCTATTCGGGGTGTACAGTTATATGGGGTCTAGGCGAAATAATAGACTGAGTATGTACCAAATTTCATAAAATTATCTTTGAAAATTGCGACCTGTAACGTGCGCACAAGGTTGACATGAACACACATACGGACAAACGGATGGACGGACATTGGTATACTTTAAGTTGAGTGCAGGACTAAAGACCATTACTCTCCCCTCTAGAGCGGTGTACGGGTATTGGTCTTTAAAAGAGTATCTAATTCATCTAATCTAATTCATTGTAAAATGTGATGTAGGGTATTACAAAGTTTGGAATCGAAATATATATAGGCAAAAATGTTTTAGAATTATAAACCATGATAAACGGCCTACAGGTGATATGGGATGTAGGGCATCACTTAGTCGACTAATTAGTTTTTATTGTTTAATTGTGTTTTTCGCACATGTATGAGAAGTATTTATATCTATAATTTGTTTGCTTATTTAAATGATGTTAATATACTCATTAAAATATATTTTAATAATAAATAAATATTAAATTATAAATATATAATTTTTAACGAAATTCGCAGACTTTGTTTTATAATTTATTATATGAAGAATATATTTAAAATTACAAAGTTCAACTTAAGAAACGAAATCTGTCAAACATGACAACATGCAAAGAAATAAAAGACAATTAAAAGTTATTAATGGTTTACAACAGGAACTTGTTAATAAACTATTAAGAAACCATTGATAACTTTATGAATACTGGGAAAATTTTTAAAGTCTTTATTAGTGTATTTGTTATGGTGATCATAAGTAATTAACACTTAAGTTTACGCAAAATTTGACTTAAGTCAATAAAAAATAGGCTTTAGATTATTTTTGTCAAAAGCATAATATTTAACTTAATCTGTTATGGTTTATAACCATGGTATGGTATAAGTATTACGCTACTATTGATTTTTTATTACGATTTTTTTTTTAAATTTTATATTTGTTTATTCAATAAATAAGCAGCTGCTTATATTTAATGACATTTATTTATTTTTTTTTGTCAGCAAAAAAAAAAAGTTAAAAAATAAACAATTAATTATATGGTTATGAAATTATGTTTTATTTTATTTATTTTTTGTTTCTTTTTTTATTTATCTCTTTTTTTATAACACACATATCACTTATACATGCCGGTATGTGTATAAAAATTTGTACAAATATTTGTCTTATTTTGAATTTGTATTTTTTTTTTGCAATTAACCAGAAACTTTTCATTAAAAGTTCAAATTAATTGGAAATTTTATACATATGAGTGTAATTTAATTTGACTATAATAGAGTAATAATCAATTTAATTTAAATTAATTTATTATATTTTTTTTTTACTGAAATACTCAGTTACTTTAATGGTATTCCAATTAAAATATTATACAAACTTGTTTGACGCTATTGTATTGTTTGTGGTAAGTTGAAGTTAAATCCTGGACAGTGAAGTGTATTTGCAATTGAAAATGTTTCCTTATTATTTAATTAAGTAGTGACAATAATAAATGAGTATTTTTTGCAATTTTAAAAATGTAATGGTGTCTTGATGTCAATGTTTATACACATTGACCCATTAGACAAGCAAGGAAAATCCGTTTGTGTAAAATAATTTAAAGGAAGTAAATGGATAGGATTACACCGTCATAAACATAAGAAAAATATGTATATTTCCACAATACATTTGATATTCAAGCTGTACATGCATGTTAGAAACCAGAAAAAATCGTAACAGTTATAATATTTTTTTAGTCAATTTTTATTCAACGACTTTAAAAATCTACACCCGACAATTACCCAATTAATTAAACATTTCAACACAATTAAATTACTCTCGCATTGTAAACAAATAGCAAATCCAATTTAAATTAATAAGATTAATTCAATATTATCATTCCCATTCACGACATTATTATATAATATTTATGTCGAGTAAGTAAATAATAAAATGCAAATCATGAACAGTTTGTTTTAATTACTTTTTTTTATAACCTAGATTATTTAAGTGTTTAAAGGCGGCTTTCTTTAAATACACCTTTATTTGTATTTTCTTTAAGATAAGTTTTTATAACTTTAAAGATTTTTTCACTTTTTTTTTTAAATCAATAGTCGAAAATTAAAATTGTGTATTTTTTAATTAATGTAATTTGGATTTTTTTTTATTATTTTTTTATTGTTTGTTGTTAAACAGATTTTTGGAAATTTTTATACATATTTTAAAAATTTTACATTCACTTAAAACAACTGAAATCATTGCATTCATTGTTCTGTTAAAATAATAAAAAAAATTAATACTGTTTTAAATTTATTTCTTAAAATCCTTTATTGACACTTATTTGAGTTTAACTTGATGAAATATTTATTAATGTATCTTCTAAAAAAGATTTTTGAAGAAAAAAAAAGTAAAGAAGTAAGAGTGTTATTTTCGGCTATGCCGAATCTTATATACCCACCATCAAACCGTATGCCAGTAATATGCGTTAAAGTCATTTCCTAAAGGGAACGGGGGGTAGAAAAATTTTGGTTTATATGAAACTTATTTATGTCGAATTTCATCGCTATACTCGTATTTTTAAGACAGTAATGAGCGTTAAAGTCATTTTCTGAAGGGCACCTTATATGGGGGTAAGGTCAATTATGGACCGATCCTCATTAAATTCTGTAGAGAGATTTTGGCTTATACTCACATTTTTAAGCCACTAATGTGCGTTAAAGTAATTTTCTGAAGGGGACCTTATATAGGAGCTAGGGTAAATTATGGACCGATCCTCATAAAAACCGATAAAAAGATTTTTGCTCATAAGAAACTTACTTATGTCGAATTTCAGCGCTAGACTCGTATTTTTAAGACAGTAATAGGCGTCAATGTAATTCTTTGGAGGGGACCTTATATGACGGGTAGGGTCAATTATGGACCGATCCTCATAAAATTTGGTAGAGACAATTTGGCTCAAATGAAACTTATTTATATAAAATTGCATCTCTATAATCCCATTTTTAAAACAGTTATGTCTGTTAAAGCTGTTTTTCGGGGGACACTTTTATGGAGGGTATGCGAAAACGTGGATCGATATTTCGAATTTTCAATACCAAACAAACCTTACCTATAGGAAACATTTGTGGAAAATTTCAACTCTCTAGCTCTTTCAGTTCTATCGTGGTTTCAACAAATAGACGGACAGACTAGATCGTCTTAGTATTTAATAAGGACCCAGAATATATATTTGATCAATATATCGATGTGTTATAAACGGAATTACAAAATCAATATACTCCCCATCATTTTTGATGGTGGGTATAAAATGTTAAACCAGACAGACGGACAAACATGACTTAGTCGACTGAAAAAATATGATTCTAAGCCGACGTTACAATTTTGATGATAATTCAATTAACAATTC